TGCTGGAGCGAGCCAAAGTAGTCAAGGAGGATTGCCATGATCTTAATAAGGTGCTCCCCATTCCCAGTAAACAGTTTTGTACCACCAAGCTGATTTTTTTTTTTGGTGAAATTATTTATGTACCTTTGGTAGTGTCACCCCTGCTACAACCTGCACTCGGCCTCGCTCCCTGTAATCAATGGCTGTCATGTGGTGTGCACTTGGCTGCCATCCTCCTTCTCAGACAATGCCTACAGTACACCTATACATTTGCACTCATCTGCGATGTTGTTTTCCCCAGACCTCCTTGTAGAGAAGCCAAAATAATGCTCACTTGTGTTTGACTGGATGGTATTCCACTGCAGGCAGCAAGCAGCAGAGTCAGTACATGCAAGTCATCTTGCCACTTGTCTTTATAAATGAAATTCTGTTGAAACACAGGCTTTTCTTTGTGCTGACTGGTTTCACCTTCTACATTTTTTAGCCTATTATTTGTGACACATTTTTTCATTCAATCCATTTTTTGTCTCTTTTTATTTTTTATTTTTCAATTTTTTTTATTTTAGATGATGCTCATAATTGACCAGGGTGGGAAGGATTGAGGGTCAGAGAAAGATGGTATGATCATTGTTTCCAAGTTTTTCATTTCTTCTTCCTGCATCTGGGAGGAAGGAGGAGATCAGGGGAGAAGCCACAACTAGTGTCCAAATAGCCCTAGCACTTGAGGATGTGGAGCAGCCACCCACTATCGAGCCAGGGTCCTGGAGTGTACACGCTGAGGGTTCTGCCCAGGTGGTTTCTATACTTTTGAAATGTTGTCGATCTCACCGATCCAAAGATGAAGGAACACTTTAATGTCCGTTGGCTGACAGTCTACCTTAGGGTCTCCTTTCACCCAGGTACATATTTGAGCTGGGATAGTTGTCCTATCTGTTTTGTTGTCCTTCCTCTGCTATGGTAACAGATGTCTTCTGGGGGCCCCAGTGGGCTGCCATATCCTCCATGTATATCTGGGCCAGCCGTCCACTACTCTGTCTTTTCCACTGAGGAGGACCAGTTCTCACAGGTGAGTCCAAGGACCTGAGGCTGGAGATGATAATATTTTTTAAGATTTTTTTTTAATTTGGAAAGGCAGATTTACAGAGAGAAGGAGAGACAGAAAGAGGAAGATCTTCCATCTGTTGGCTCACCCCCCAATATCTGCAGTGGCTGGGGCTGAGCCAATCCAAAGCCAGATTCTGGAGCTTCTTCTAGGTCTCCCATGCAGTGCAAGGTCCCAAGGCTTTGGGCCATCTGCTGTTGCTTTCCCAGGCCATAGTCAGGGAGCTGGATTGGAAGTGAAATAGCTAAGACAGAAACCAGCACCCACAAGGGATCTTGGTGCTTGCAAAGGGAGGATTTGCTAATTGAGCCATTGTGCCAAACCACCCCCCCCTTCTATGTAACTTTTCAATATTAATTTTATTTATTTTATTAGTTTATTACACAGTTCCATAAGCTCTGGGATTATCCTTTCCTCCCTCCCCAAGTCCTCACACCCCACTGATTTCCCTTTTGTCATTTTAGTAGCATAGTCCAATGTAACTTTTTAAAATCTTTTTAGAATTTTAAAAACTTGTTCGTCATTAATTCCTGGTATATAAATTGAAACTAATTGGGCTGGTGCTGGACTGGAACTTGCAATCTCATGGAAAGTGGGAAGATGCTTATTGTGTCAAAAAATTTGAAATCGATGCATAGGTTTTTCATAACATGTATTTTCCATAAACTTAAAACAGTGATTTGTTTGAAAGAGATACAGACAGATGTATCCAGTAATGGTTTCTTTCCTTTGTGACTATAGTGTCCAGGATGGTCCAGGCCAAAGCCAAAAGCTGAACACTCAGTGTGGGGAGCCCATGTATGTGGCTTCCTAGAAAGTGCGTTGGCAGGAGCCTGAACTCAGGAGTGGAACCAGGACCAAAACCCAGTCAATCCTCAGTGGGATGTGGGCCACTTCAGTCAGTGTCTGCCCCAACATGTACATTTTGAAGACCCTGTACCTAATTGGGTTTTAAATTATTTGCACCAAAATGAGTATCTTAATCCCATTCTGATGAACTTTGAAAAAGACTCATTTGTCTATTTTTGTGAAAGGATGACAGGGAGAGGGAGAGATCTTACATCTGCTGGTTCACTCTCCAGATATACCCACCCTACAACCATGGCTCAGCTCGGCTAAGCTGAACTCAGAGTTGTGCACTGCATCCTGGTCTCCCAAATAAAATAAAATAAAATACATACTTGGACAGCAACCCAAGTATTTTATACCATCACCTGATGCCTCCCAGATACATCAGCAGGAAAATGGGTTGGAAGCCACGGTGGGGTTCACAAGCGGTGGCTCAACCCACAGTGCCGTAACACCCTCCTTGCCCTCATGCGTGTCATTCTTGCTCATTACAGAGCAAGATACCCCTCCCTGAGCAAGAAGAACAGACAGCACTTCTGAGAGACACTAAAGGCTGAACGGAGAGGAAGACAGGGGGCAGCTGTGCTACTTGGTGATGCGAGAAGGCAGAGCTGTGGGGACTGAGAGTAAGGGAGAGGCTGCAACGGGTAGAGACCAAGTCCCACCGTGACTGACAAACAAGTCCACTTGAGAGCTGCTTTGATTTATTTTATTATCTATCTATCTATCTATCTATCTATCTATCTATCTATCTATTTATTTATTTATTACAGTCTTGACATAATTAGGGTAAAAAGGTTCAAGCACTACAGGAAGATGGGCAAGACAATTAGTTCCGTATTGTTTCTTTAATATATCTGATGTAAAAGGGGATTTTAAGGGAGAAGCCCCACCCAGTCTCCCACCCATTACAGGTCCCTGATGTGGGGCATGCTCCAAGGGTCTTGCTCAAGTGGATAGTTCAACAGTTCTGAATTGCTGCCACTCTCACCACTCCAAGCTCAACGAGGTCATTGGAGAATCCATTGATTGACATAGTCCATTATAGAGTCTCCGTTTACCCAGTATTTTCATTGCCAACATATAGCTGAGGTGGTTGTTTGACTTGTTCTGTCTTCTCTCTTTTCTTGGTTAGGGTCCTGAGTCCCGAAGCTCGACTGGGGGGCTCCCCAAAGAAACTTTGTCTGAGGTGGGCCCTGTGCTTGCTAGTACATACGAGAGCTGCTTCGATTTTTATACAAAAGACGTTGGAGGGGTTTTCGGTAGAGAATGTCTCGAGTTGCAGCCCTCCTACTAGTGTAGTAAATCACAAAGATGACAGGAAGTAGATATGTTTGCGAAATTTTGAAATACCTTAATTTCAAAGGCATTTATGAATTTACCAGTGAAAATTTTTTTCTCAAGTTTTTGCATCCACATACATTTTCATTCAACTTGGTTGATATAGATGAGTCATTTTAAAGTGAAATAAAACCAAAAGCAAGGCAGAATGTTAAATGGTAAAGCATTTAAATTGGTGTAACTTTTTAATATTTTTTTCCAAACAACAAGAATTTCTTAGGTTTTAAAATGTAATTATTTATACAATATATAATACAGTATTTTCAGTTGTTATTTTGCATGTTTGGACAATCAGTCTAACTCATTTGGTCTCTGTTAAGTTTCCAAGTTGCTTAAATTCAGGTTGTGCAATGGAGATTTGAAAGCTACATTGGAAGAGTAGAAACATTTCTCTTACTTTAACTATCATTCTTTACCTCCCATTTGCTTACATTTTAATCTGTCTCACTACAGCACCATTATCAGTACAACTTGACATTCTTGTAATAATAAAAATTCACTGCACGTTATGTTTAGTAATGTGTAAAACTCATTTTTAACAGTTTTGTGATTTGTAAAGTGAGTTTCGTGATTATCAAATGGGACTGAGTTGTGAAACTCTTTTCTGAGGTCTCCTCCGCAAAGAGTGCTTAGTTGGATGTAATCTGTTTATTGTCATCATTATTGGAAAACATTTTAAATAGTTGGATATCACCGTCCTCGCTCTGGCAGTGTGTTTTACATATATAGAGAACAGTCCAGTAGCTTGTTTTATAATTAGAATAATATCATCCTTAAGTTCACAATATGAACAAATTATAAATATATGGGTACATTTGAAACAGTTTTGGTTTATTGGTTGAGCAGTCAGGTTCCCTGACTATTGACATAAAATAAGTTGGATAGCAGCTTGAGTGTTTACTTGGGAAAGAAAGAAAGAGAAAGAGAGAGAGAGAAGGAGAGAAAGAGAGAAAGGAAGGAAGGAAGGAAGGAAGGAAGGAAGGGAGGAAGGAAGGAAGGGAGGAAAGAGAAGGTCTGAGTTGGGAATCTTTCTGTGGCTGAAAATAGAAAGTTTAGGGCAGATGTTTTCTCAAGAAAGAAAGAAAGGAAAGGGAAGGAAAGGAAAAACTAAGTTAGTCTCTCTTCTGTCCATGTCAGAATGAAGATGAAATGTGAACTGTGAAACCATAAAGGCACCAGGGTGGAACGAGGTGAAATCTTTTGAAATTGGAATAAAGAAGATTGTTCTCAAGAAAATGAAATAACTAATTTTAACGTAGTTTAAATTTTGTTGTAACAGAAATTACAAAGCCTCATGGTTGTGGCCAAAGATTGCCTGGGTATCCATAGGATGAGGAAGCCATGACAAGTGCGCTGTGAGCTTGTAGAGGGAGTAGACGGCAGTAGACATGAAAGCATGGTTAGCAGAAGCATTTCCATACCCTCTTTACTGTAGAAAATTTCACTTTACAGTAATTTTAGGACCTCACAAATCTCACTGTGTAAGATTTGAAACAAAACTTCTCTTAGCTACTGCCATCATGTATCATCTTGCTTCTCAGGAGAGGGCTTTTTCTTGGGTCAGGTTTTGATTTTCTGCTAACAGCTGGGCACTCGTAAGTGCGAGGACTGGCGTTAAGCATCTTTGCCTTAGAATGAGACCGTGTAGAGGTAATTTTTGCATCCGTCCTGCGCGTGTCTTGCGGAAGTGGTAGAGGAAAGCATTGCTCAGGGCTTTGGTCTTGTCTCCGTAGGAGCCGGCGTGCGGATGTTCACCCCATTTCATTTTCTCGTGGAGCCGGAGGACACGCTGTCTGTCAGAGGCTCTTCTGTCACACTGAACTGCTCTGCGTATTCTGAACCGCCTCCAAAAATCGAATGGAAAAAAGACGGAACGTTTTTGAACTTAGTGTCTGATGACCGACGCCAGCTTCTCCCGGACGGATCTTTATTTATAAGCAACGTGGTGCATTCCAAGCACAATAAACCCGATGAAGGTTACTACCAGTGTGTGGCCACTGTCGAGAGCCTCGGAACCATTGTCAGCAGGACAGCCAAGCTCACGGTAGCAGGTGAGTTTTGTGAAGTGATTGGTTTGCATTTTCAGGTTTTTAATGGGTAAATCTCTAAGAAAGCAGTATTTTCCTGAAATTTTCATGTAATGGTTAACAACAAACACACTTATGGATAGAAGTCAGTTAGACATTTACTATGCAAGTAGGGCAATGCCAGGGCCTGCTCAGTGCTTTATGGAATTAAACTGACACTTTTCCACTTGCCTGAAGCTTTAAGTTTTGTTCCTTTCTTTTGTTTGTTGTTGGTTTTTTTTCCGCCCCATTTTTTTTCTACTTGGAAATGGCAGAGAAAATCATACAGGAAAACCGAATCACTTTCATGGTGAACTTTTACTCTCTAGCCTGTTTAATATTTCCGTGTCAAACTTGGAGTAAAGCCAGAATCCTAGTTATTTTGTGCCCTAACCCAAGGAAATGACATTTAATTAGCTTTTTTTTTCTTACATCCAGAGAATATTTATTAAGATGGAGAGCAGGAAGTTATCAAGAGAGAAAGAGACTCGCTGTCAGAGCTTTCTTACTTGAATAATGATTGCAAGTATAAGAGGAGTGGGAGGTGGTTGGATTCCTCAGTGAGCCGTGTCTGTTTTGAAGCAGGCACCAGCACTTCTCAAATAATCTTGGTCTCTCTCTTGCTCTTTGTCAAGGGTCGTATTACACAAAACTGATGTTTCCGTACGTCCTGTATTTGTGCTTACAGTGGTAAAATGCAGACAGAGTCCACAAAATGGGGACCGAATCAATGTAAGCTGTTGTCTCTTCTCTCTTTCCCACTCCAGGGTTTGGTTTTGTTTCTTGCTCACTCCGTGGGATTATTTGTTCATTCATTCAGAATGAGGGCTCTTTTTCATCTTGGAACTGAATGTTCGAGGTTGAATTAGGTTAGGATGTCAACCCTCTATAATCATAGATCAAGGGTGGAATAATAAAAGAGGAGGAGAACCCTACATTTTAGCCATTTCCCTTTTCTCCTTTCCCCCCGCCCCTCCTTCCCTACTCTTTTGTTGTGGCCAGGCTTTCTTGCAACATGTTTCATAAACATATTAGCATCCTGATATCCTCTGCAGTGTCATTTTGGCCAGCTTCTGGTTACCATGCATGTTCTCCTGCTGTCTCTTGTCCGGGCCTCATTTGTAACTCCTTCCTCCCAGCTGCCTCCTGCACCGTTGTCGGGTCCAGTGAGCTGGGTTTCCTAATTTGTTTATACCTGATCCACAGCCTTCTTGCCACACTGGCTTTGTGCCTGTTTTTGCCCCTGATTCTTTCCTTCCTGCAGTGCAGTCTTTGCAGGCTGGTCCCAGGGCATCAAGTCAGTCTCTGAACTCTTAAATAGCAAGAATGCTTGTTGTGTGTGCACATCTCCACATCTTTTTAAGACACGTTGTTTGTTGTTTGTTTGACAAAAATGAAAAGAGAGATCTCCCATACACTAGTTTATTTCCTAAATGCCCACACTGGCCACGGCTGGACTGCACTCATACACAGCCAGGAATTCAATTGAGTTCTCCCATGAGGGGAGCAGAATTACAATTATTCAAACCACCCTTGTCCCTCCCAGGCCCTGCATTAGCAGGAAGCTTACGTCAGGAGCTGAAGCCTGGCATCATACCCAGTTCTTCTAATGTGGGACATGGGGGTCTTAACCAGCATTGTCACCACAAAGCCAAGTGCTAGCTCTGCCAGTTTCATACCTGAATGTTGCCCCTTTCCCTGCCCCATAGCCTCGTCATGACTCCAGCACTGACAGTACTGAGTGATTTGAGTTCCCTTTTTTCCTTTTCCCTACCCACTGACCCTGGCTCGTGGCTTCTCTATTAACTCTGTCCTCCTCTACTGATGTCTCAATCTTTTTCCTTAGCTCTCGTGTCCTCTAGGAAACACTTTTTTGGGTTCATCTAAATGTTGGTAGTTTCAGTACCAGGAGGAATACTGTATGCTTACTGCAGACACAGTTCCGTTCACTCTTAGTATCTGAGCTGAGGGATAAGTGGAAGCACTTCTTAGTAATTGCTTATTAAATTACATGCATGTTACAAGCAATTCCGTAATAAACTGCTTTTTGCAAATCGTCACTCTATAGAAAACATTGCTAGAAGTAGGGTTACTGGATCACAGGGTACCTTTTATTGTTTGTTTGTAGTGGGTTATCATCTCAAAATGTTAACCATAGGGTTACCATATCACCCACCAGTTCAGTCCAGGTGTCTTCCCCAAGGGAAGTGAAAAGATTTATGTGTAATTCTTCACACCCATATCATTCCTGAGCATTAGGAAATGGAGAGAACTTGGTTTCCATCAAGGGTGAAGTGGACAATTAAAATGTAATTTATTCTTATAATGGAATATTTTCAGCAATTAGATTAGGAAATAAAACCCTGATGCACGAATGTACTACAACACAGGTGAATTGCAAAAACATTAACCTAAGTTAACGAACCACTAGAAACTATGTGTCATATGGTCTTATTCTTACCAGTATCCTGTGTAGGCAAATTTATAGGGAAAGAAGGTAGATGGGTGGTTTTCTAGAACTAAGTACTGGGGGCTGGGAGCAGAGGGCGCAGGGTTGTGGGGTTGGAGAACAGGGAACAGGAGTCACTGCAAGTGAGAACAGGGTTTCTGCGGGCGTGACTAAAAGGTTCTGAAATTAGGTTCTAGCAGTGATAGTTGCATAGCTCTCTTCATACACTAAGAAGCCCATTGTAGGCTTACTGTCTTTTAGTCTCTTTGTCATTTACTGGGAATTTGGATGGTTGGTTGGTTTGAGAGACTGAGATGACTCCCATCTTCTTCACCTCCCCAGATACCTGCAGCGGCACAGGCTGGGCCATGCTGAAGCCAAGAGCTAGGAATTCAATCCTAGTCTCCCATGAGGTTGGCAAGGCCCCAAGTCCTGGAGCCATCCCATGCTGCCTCTCATTAGTAGAAAGCTTTAGTTGAGAACAGAACTGGAACCTGAACCCAGGCACTCTGACATGCAACACAGTTGTCCCAAGCCCTAAATTATGCAACTTTCATGGTGAACTTTATGGTACATGTATTATGGTAAAAGCTTCTGCAAAGCTTTTCTGGCTGTAAGCAGTAGACACTTGGTTCTAGCCAGCTCAGACAAGCAAAGAGAATGTTGAAAGAATGCTAAGTGGAAAGCTCCTAGGATTAAAGATGTTTTTTGCTTTTTTTTTTTTTTTTTTCATTTCTCCACAGCAGGTGTTTTTTCTTTTCTTTTTTTCTTTTTTTTTTTTTTACCTGCTGGTGAAAGAATGAGGGAGCTTCAGGACAAACCTCAGCAGTCTCCTCGTGTCAGCTCTGTGTCTCGCTGGTACTTGCTTCTGCCTAGCCCTTCTCCAAAAGCTGTGGGCAACTGGCACTGTCCTGTGAGCATGGGAGGCCCTGAGATGCCAGCTGTCAGCTCCTCCAACTGCTACCCTTGCTCAGAAACCTCTTGTTTGCCAGTTTCCCACATGCTGTTGTGGGCTTACATGTTTAAGAATTACTCAGAGTCATGAGACCTCAGCAGGGGAAAATTTTTTTACTTTTTAAAAATAGAAGTAGTTCTTGGTTTGTTTTATTAACATTCCCTCTGTTCCCCACACTTTGTCAGTGTTTGTCTTTGCTCATTCCTTCTGATTCTCTGGTTTCTTAAAAAGAGATATGTGGTTAATTGCAATATTTACTTCTTTGCTTCAGAAGTCTCTTTGAAATTAAAAAAAAAAAAGCAAAAATTTTGTAGCAAGACTAGAAAACCTGTGTGTTAATTATATTTGTAATTATTTCTCAGTAATTATTTGCTAGTCTTTAAAGAAGCATGCTGTCCCTTTATAAAGGTGGTTTTTAAAAAATTATTCTCTTTTTAATAGTTTTCACATAGTTGAGAGGGATGTATGGCCACCTGGGTCTCTGATTAGGGTAGGGAGCATGAGATATGGAGAAAGCTGGGTGGGGACAAATGTTTCAGGGTTTTTTTTGGTTGTTGTTGTTGTTCACAGTGGGGAAAGGGGAAGGGCTGTGCCTTGCTGTCAGCACCCAGACAGGGGCGTGGTCATTTGATAACATCTTAGAGACCCAGATGTGGGGAAGAGTGTTCCAAGCATGTTACTTGAGTGGTTTTGATAGTTGTGAGATATCATCAGCTTCATTATACCAGGGTCCAAGGTTGAAAAAAATCTTTCCAAGGTTTATTGGTTGACAAAGTCCACTTTAGCGCATCCACAGACTCAGGAACATGCTGCAAAGCTTGGCCAAGACAACTGTCCAACCTGCTTTGTGTTCTATCCTGTCACAAGGCAGTCCATATCTCATGCTGGCCTAGAGGAGTTGACTGTCATAGCCCTCATGTACATCTGCTTACGCTCTCCACTGCACAGACATAAGCAACCGAGGAGCCCACTCCTGATACGTGCACTCCAAGGTCAGACCACATCCTGTGATTTCTCCCTGTGGCTGGGGCCTGAGTCTAGCAGACTAGTTGGAGAGTCCCCCAAGAAACCTCACCTGGGTTTCTTGTGTGCACCAGCCAGCAGGTGCAGGATCAGGATTGATCTGTTATCATTCCCCAGCCAACACACATTCTGATTGATAAAGCTGCCCTAGTCAGTTCTGCCCCAGCCCCATATCTCACATGAAACAGTGGGTGCTTCAGCCCACGACAGACCCAGTCTTCATGCATACCAGCAACTGCAAGCGCTGTAGCCTAATTGGAACAATGCCCTGATAATCCCCACCAGGCCTGCTCCAAGCCCCAATTTTTATGTTTTCCAGCCTTTGCTGCGGCCAAGCCCAGCCCAGCCTGTATCTTATCCAGCTCTCATGCACATCCATTGGTTTTGCAGTTTACCTCAGACTGACCCACTTCCAGGCATGCCAATAGGTGCTGCGGCTTTGAACAGCCCAGCCTGTCCCCACCCCTGGTTCTTGTGCTCAACAACAATAAGTATGTCTGGGCCCGTCACAATAGCCTGGAGGCTAAAGTCCTCACCTTGAATGCACAGAGATCTTATATGGGCACCGGTTCTAATTCCGGCAGCCCCACTTCCCATCCAACTCCCTGCTTGTGGCCTGGGAAAGCAGTCAAAGACAGCCCAGTCAAAGCCTTGGGATCCTGTACCTACGTGGGAGGCCTGGAGGAAGTTCCTGTCTCCTGGCTCCAGATCAGCACAGCACCGGCCATTGCTATCACTTGGGGAGTGAATCATCAGACAGAAGGTCTTCCTCTCTGTCTCTCTCCTCTTATATTTCTGACTTTGCAATAAAAATAAATATATAAAAACAATTGGTACATCCTAGCAGAGGAATGCCCATAGTTCCCCTGCCAAGCATGTCCCTAGTACCAGATATTACACCTACCAGGGAATACTACAGTCCAGACTGAAATGGCTCACACCCAGTCATGGCACTCACAAGCTGGTGCTTTGGTCTAGCCCAGCTGGCCCACATTATTCTGACTCTCGTGCCAGCAGGTACAAAAGCCTATGCCATCCTGACCCACCCCCAGACCTGACCATTCCCAGACACACTCTCATGCTTACCAATAGAAGCAGCAGCCCAGCAAGAGGGTTCCTGAAGTTCCCCTCCAGGCCCTTTCCAGTAAGGGTTTGCCATGTGCCAGTTGGTCAGCAATAGCCAGCTCCCAGTCTTGGAGTAACCCACAGGTACTACAGCCTGACTAAGCCCTGCCTGCTCTAAGTCCCAGCTCTGGCTAGTAGATACAGCAGCCTAGCCCAGCTTGTCTGACCCCCAGCCTTCATATGAATTGGCAGGTGTTGTGGTCCAGCTAAGCCTAGCCTTCGCCCTCTCCTGGCTCTCACTTGTGCCAGTGTGTGCTGTGGATTGACCCTACCAGGTCTACCCCCAGACCCAGCTCACACATATGTCAAAGGTGCTGCGGCCCAGCCTAGACTAGTCTGCTCTGCTTCCAGCCCCAGCTCTATTTTTTTCCCCAGCACTGGTCTCACACTCACCAGCAAGAGTGCCTAGCAGGGGAATTCCTCAAGTTTCCCTACCAGGCCTACTCTCAGCAACTTATCTCACATGTGCTGGTGAATAGTAATCTGCTGCTACCCAGACTAACATGGCCAGCACCCAGCCCTGGCACTCACCAGTGAGTATTACAGCATAGCCCAACTGACCTACACCCATTCCAGCTCTCACTGACGGTGCTACAGCCTAGCCCAGGCCTGCCCACTCATGGACCTGGCTCTCGTGGGACCTGGCAGGTTCTGCCACCTAGCCTGGCCTGTCCCACACCCATTCTGGCTCTCATGATTGCCAGTGAGTGCTGGATCCACCCCCAGGCCAACCCACATGCATGTCAAATGTGCTGCAGCCTTTCCCAGAATGGTTTGCCTTCAACCCCGTGCTCACATTCACCATTGGGAGCTGCAGCCTAGCAGGGGTTGTCCCCAGAGTTCCCCATTCCCAACCCTGGGTCTTGTATGTGCTGATGGGTGGTTCAGCCCAGCCTAGCATGGCCCACCCACAATCTCAGCTCTTGCTTGCAGATGTTGCAACCTAGCTCAGTGGGGCTCAGTGGGGAATGGCCCATACCCTGTGTTGGCTCTCGTGTTTGCCAGTGAGCGATGAAGTCTGGCCTAGCCTGAACCGTTAAGAGTAAGAATAAGCATGGCCTGTCCTCAGATCTGACCCACACAAACATTGATAAATGCTTCAGAATTGCCTGACCTGACCCACCTCCAGCCCTGACTCTTTTACTCCCCAGCAGGAGCCATCCAGTTTTGACTGGCTAGTGTTAGCATCAATAGCAGATTCTTTTTAGATTTACTTCTTTTCAAATTCGATTACAGAAACAGAGGGAGGGACAGGGAGAGGTCTTCCATCCATTGCTTCACTCCCTAAATGGCCAAAACTGTTAGTGCTGGGGCAGGCTGAAACCAGGAGCTTAGTCTAGGTCTCCTACCTTCTGCTGCTTGTCCCAGGACATTAGCAAGGGCTGGATCTGAAGTGGAATGGCTGGCCAGCGAACCAATACCCATGGGGACTTTCCTTGATACACCACAGCCCCAACTTGAGCCACCAAGTAGAGCTTTTCTTTCTCCTGCAGGCTTTTGTTTCATTCACTCCAGGGCTTATACTGCATGAACACATTCTCCCCTCAGTCACAGGAACCTCCCTAAGTCTGACTTCCATGTCCTTTGTGCACACGGTGCCTTTCTATGTCATGAAGTACTCCAGGTTCATGTACTTTACTCCACTGCTACAGTCAGCATTCCTCCAAGAAGCCCCAGTTCCTTGTAGTGGGATGACGTTTAGGAATCAGTTGCTGATGGATACTGCAGTGGGCCTTCTGTGTGGACAGGGCCAGGCAGTCCAACCGTGTGCATGTGTAGAGGGTGTTTTACTTAATGTGTACTCAAAGGCTGCTGAGCGTATACACATCTCACACATACTCTTTAATCTACATGTGTTTACGTATCTTAAGTAAGACAGACGACTATGCTGACATCCTCATTCTGGACCCATGCCGTGGGATCTGTTCTGCCCTTCTCCTTTCCATGCATTCCTCCCTTTGAGGATTCTGACTACAGTCACCCTTGAGATACTCAGTCACTAGCCAGTTTCCCACCACCCCCTCTCTCTTCTGCCACACTTTGTGACTGTGTAGACTGACCTGCTCTTGACCCGTGTGATGTCACTGTAAAATAATGTCTAGTTGCATTTAATTTCTTCTCCTTTACTATCCAGGTCTTCCAAGATTTACCAGTCAACCAGAGCCCTCTTCTGTTTATGCTGGAAACAATGCGGTGCTGAATTGCGAAGTGAATGCAGATTTGGCCCCATTTGTGAGGTGGGAACAGAACAGACAGCCCCTTCTTCTGGATGACAGAGTCGTCAAGCTTCCGAGTGGGGCACTGGTCCTCAGCAACGTGACCGAGGGAGACGGAGGCCTTTACCGCTGCGTGATTGACAGTGGCGGGCCACCCAAGTACAGTGACGAGGCGGAACTGAAAGTTCTCCCAGGTATCAACTCAGCATCAGAACTGATGGGCTTGTCTGTTTGTGGGTGACATTGTTCTGGGAGGACTGTTTTAATGAACATATGTGGTATGACACGTTACTACCTGCATAAGGGATTTCTGTTTTTCATAGGGATAGAGTGAGAATATCCCAGAACTATCCATTCTGTATTGAACTTATTATTTTTTTATTGAACTTACTATTAAAAATTTCTCAAGGAAAGTATATGCAAAACCTAAGAATGTTCTTCACAAGGCAGTATTAATTTTGTCTTCTGTCCAGCTTCATTCTGCTGTTCTCCACTTTAGTATGTTCTGTAGTGAATGGTTTTATCCTGTAGGTGTTGGAAGCTCATAGGGGCGCCTCCTCGAGGGGGTAGCGGTGGGAACTTGATATGGCAGCTTTAGAGAGTTCTTGCATCTTGGCAGTGCTCCACTTTTTTGTCACTGCAAAACAGTCTCCTCCTTTCAGTGGTTGCTTTTGTCTTCTCATTCTGTCTGCCCCTGCTGGCCTTTGCTGTAATTGGTTTTGTATGTGAGAATACTTGGAAAAGTTCATGGAAGATGACGGAATTAAAATAAGGTATGGGGGGAAAAATGGCAGTGTCCACTGGCTCGATCCTGACTGCTTCGTACATGGCACAGGTTTCGTTTGTTCTCTACACCGTGGGCACTGTTCAAATGCGACTTCAGAATCTGATCGAGAAAAACAGGGTTAACTGTTGTGAGAGGGGCCGAGGTCACTCCAGAGACTGAAGCAGAAACCAGCACTGTCTTTTGCTACCGCAGTAAGGCAGAGGCAGGCCTGTCAGTCACCTCAATGTAGCCAACTGCAGATCTGTTTGTGTTAAGAGGCAGAGTAGATCACTATCATTCATAGTTTTGTGATTGGCTACAGAGATGAGACAGGTTAATGTTGGTCTTAGAAGCAAGTGACCATGCCATTGATGAGTTAGCTTTTAGCTTGGGCTGGTCACTTTTTGGTTTTCGCACTCACTAACCTCTTAGATAGTGTCCACTTGTTGCCACAACTACAGAACTGTCATTAATTGATTAGACAAGCTTACGGCAGTTCTGATTTTTTTTAAGATTTGTTTCATTTTTTTTGAAAGGCAAAGTTAGAGAAAGATAAGCAGGAAGAGAGAGGTCTTCATCCGCTGATTCGCTCCCTAGTTGGCCACAATAGCCAGGGCGGGCCAGGCTGAAGCAAGGGAGCTTCACCCACTTCTTGAGTGAGCATAGGGAGCTAAGCACTTGGGCCATCCTCTCCTGCCTTTCTAGGTGCATAAACCAAAGTGGAGCAGCCAGGACTAGAGCGGCATCCATATGGAGCATCGTCACTGCAGGCAGCAGCTTAACGCATTATGCCATAGGGCCAGCCCCTCTGCAACTTTTCCTGAGGGTATGGGGACAACAGTCACATTCTGCCTGAGAATTTTTTTTCTCAAAATTCAACACTAAGTTAATATGAACCTGTTAAGTGGACTCTGCTGCCCATGAGAGGCTAACCTTGTCCTGCGTCCACAGGGGCACAGCTCTGTCCAGTGAGCGGCAACTGTTCGTGTCTGAGTGAGACACACAGCTGTAGCAGCCGTGGACGGTTATTCCATTCAGTGGGTTACGCTCTGAAAGCACATGAGCTGTGTGAAACTCAGATTCTCAGAAACGCCTCAGGAGCACAGACCCTCCTTGGCGAGAGGAGGGTGCTCAGGACCTTGAGCTTGCTCAGTCTCTTCCACCATTTTGTGTGGAATGTAGTACCTTTGTAAGTGATGAGGATTCTTGCCAGATCTCATATAGCTGCCCAGAAAGTGTGCTCAAGGCAGGAGTGTCACGCATCCATCCATCTAAAGGGCACAGCGCTCTGCGCGTGGAAATGTTGGCTGATGTAAACTGGAATTTTCTTGTGACTTTTGCTTAAAGTATTTTGTTATATGAAACCAAGTGAGTACGATCAGCATTTCCTCCCAATCAGAGTGGTGACTTGTGCCTTTTACTGATTTTAATTTGTAGAGCCTGAGGTGCCGTCAGACTTGGTATTCCTGAAGCAGCCCTCCTCCTTGGTCAAAGCTGTGGGTCAGAGTGTGGTGCTGCCTTGTGTTGCTTCAGGACTTCCTGCTCCCGTCATCAGATGGGTGAAGAATGAGGAGACACTCGACACGGACAGGTAATGCCACCTGCTGGAGAGCAGCCTTGGCACCTTGGCCTTAGTCAAATCATACTTGAAACTGATGATGATTGACACTGGGTTATCTACTTAAACACATTATAATGTTCATATTATCATCCTTGAGATATACTGATATGCTATATATGACCAGGATGTTTATTAAAAAAAAAGAGAAAAAGTGCTTTCAAAGCACTGTGGGATACTTCCTTTGTTTCTTCACCCTGGATCTACAGCATGCTGGACCTGAGGCTTCAGAATCTGCTTCCCTGAATTGTCACAAGACCGGCTGAGTCTTCTTTTTCATCCTTATATGCATTTTGATGTTTTTTTTCCTCCTATATTGCTTATCTTCTTTTTGACTTGTAAAATCATACCAGCTCTCCACCAGGCTCAAAGTCTTTCTCTTCCATGAAAGCCTCCTCTGTTTACAGCAGGCGCCCTACAGTCCCTCCCTAATGGGTGCTTTGCTCAGCCGTGCTCTCATACTGGGTGGTGGTGTGGTGTGTGTTGTTTCCAAACGCAGGCCGTCTTGTGTGTCTTGGGTTGTTCCTGGCCTCCCCAACCTCCACCCACCTGGGACATGCCAAGAGTGCTTCTTTCTCCGCGTTGCCAGCTAGCCATCGGGACTACATCAGCCCCAGCTGAGGACCACTGTTCCAAAGCAGTGTTGTCCAGTAAAACTAGATCGTAAGCCACATACGCAGCTTAAATGTTTCAGGAGAAGTATGTGTGCACTACTGAGTGAAGTAGTGTGTCTTCATGTAATGAGGTATTAGCTAACAGGAAATCAGTTCCGTTAAAACAGTAGCAAAACAATAGCATATGTGGAAACTTCTGTGTCCTGCATGTACATTTACAATTGAGAGTTAAATAAAAAAGACTTTACTTCCTAACAGTAAAACTCAGTTTCTTAGTCATCCTGATCCCACTTCAACATTAATAGCCACACGTGGCTGATGGCTGCTGATTTGAACAAACTGTAGAGCAGAGAATCTTGATGTGTGCTGTTCAATAGCCATGATGTAGACAGTGACACCTGTGGCTGGGTGACAATTTCATTGACAGTAGGATGGTGCCACACACCAGCCCATTCCTCACATGTCCCTTAAAAAGATGGGATCAGGGGGGCCCGGCGCGGTGGCGCAAGTGGTTAAGTCCTCGCCTTGCACGCCCGGGATCCCATATGGGCGCCGGTTCTAATCCCGGCAGCCCCGCTTCCCTTCCAGCTCCCTGCCTGTGGCCTGGGAAAGCAGTCGAGGACGGCCCAAAGCTTTGGGACCCTGCACCCGCGTGGGAGACCCAGAAGAGGCTCCTGGCTTCGGATCGGCATAGTATCGACCCGTTGCGGCTCACTTGGGGAGTGAATCATCGGACGGAAGATCTTCCTCTCTGCCTCTCCTCTCTGTATATCCGCCTTTCCAATGAAAAAATAATAAAAATAAATCTTTAAAAAAAATAAAAAGATGGGATCAGGGCCCCTGCAGTTTCGTGGCAGGCTAATTCTGCTTTTGCAAGTGCTGGCATCCCATAGGGATGCTGGTTCATGTCCTGGCTGTTCCACTTTTGCTACAGCTCCCTGCTTATGGCCTGGGAAAGCTGCAGAGAATGGCTCAAGGCCTTGGGGTCCTGTACCCATGTGGGAGACACAAAAGAAGCTTGTGGCTCCTGGCTTTGGATTGGCTCTGCTCCAGCTGTTGTGGTCATTTGCGAAGTAAGCCAATACATGAAAGATCTCTATCTCTTCTTCTTTCTAAATCTGCCTTTCAAATAAAAGCTAGGTTACCACTCGCAGGATCACCTGATTTCTTCCTTAACACCCCTTCATTTGCTGGATTCCTTTACCCATGTTTTGCTTCCTTCTTCCTACTCTTCCCAGTTCTGTGTTGTGCAAACAATTTATAAAACTTGGGCCCGGGCGCAGTGGGTCAGTAGCTAAATCCTCACCTTATACACACCAGGATTCCACATGGGTGCCAGTTCATGTCCCGGCTCCTCCACTTTCCTGCTTGTAGCCTGGGAAAGCAGTAGAAGGTAGCCCAAAGCCTTGGGACCCTGCACCTATATGGGAGACCCAGAAGAAGCTCCTGGCTTCAGATTGGCTCAGCTCCAGCCATTGTGGCCATTTGGGGAGTGAGCCAGCAGATGGAAGATCTTTCTGTATCTCCTTCTCTCTGTAAATCTGCCTTTCCAAGGGGGGAAAAAAATCTTAAAAATTATAAGACAGACTTAAAGACTATATATTTTTTTTACTTTTAATTTTTACTTCCAGATTTTACTGGAAAGGCAGAGAGGTGAACAGAGAGAGGTCTCCCAACCACTGCTTCACTCCCCAAATGCCTGCAGCAGCTGGAGCAGGGTCAGGCTGAAGCCAGGAGGCAGGCACTCAGTGTGGATTTCCCACGTGGGTAGCAGAGGTCAAAGTACTTGAACAGTCACCTGCTGTCACCCAGGTGCACCATAGCGAGAAGCTGGAGTGTAAATGGAAGATCCAGGACTATCATCAGGCCCTCTGATGTCAAATGTGGGTGTCCCAAGCAGCAACTTAAGTGCTGTACCAAGGGCACTCCTCTTTCCGTCCCGCCCCTCTTCCGTGAACACACAGGGAATTTTTAAATGGAGGTTAAAAATCTCAAGCTCTTTGAGCAGAAATTTTAACTGGCTCAATGTTGGAACAAGTTCTTTATCAGACGTTAGAAACCAGAAACAGATTAAGAATTTGCAAATTGGATCATAAAACATTCTGGAGACACATCCATAAAAGCACAAAAAAATAACTTGATTTGTTCAGTAATTGCTCGAGGATTTCTTCAGAATTGTCGGCCACCGTTGTGGGTCCTGGGGATAGAGCAGTGAGCCAGGCAGGTCTTCCTGCAGAGCTTCCATTCTAGAGGAAAGAATGGGAGAACAGTCAGGCACCATGTGAGGCAGAAGGACAGTGTGCAGGCTCTGTGAAGGGGCATGGTTCATACAGAGCACCAGAGGCTGCCTGGGAGAGCCATTCTTTAAAGGCTGAGTGCCTGTTGGTTCTGAGCTCGTGGGAGAGGCGGAACCTGTCTTCCTGGAGCAGGGAGTTACTCATAGATACGTGTAGTTAAGTCAAACGTGGACATATGCTTGTTATTGAATTTTAACGGTGTCTCAGGAGACACTGAAGTTGAATAACCACTCTAGTCTACCTGCAGTGCTCTGGGCGCTGTGGTTCAGTGTTGCTGTCTCTGTCTCAGGATGCCTTAGCAAGGTGCTCAAGCAGGATGGGGTCAGTGCCATCCCACTTGTCCCCCTCTGGACCTGGCAGAGGGAAAGGAGTAGAAATGCTGCAGGGGAGGAGGGGGTAAAGAATACTGACAAAACAAAACCATAAAAATTTCTCCTGTGATCTAGATACTCAAATCCTTAACAAACTATTCAGTAGAACTCAGCACACTCTGAAAAGATGTGCATACCATGGCCAAGAGTGGGGTTGATTCCAGGGATGCAAGGTTAAGCGCTCCAAACTCAGTGGCTAAAATTCACAGTATTGACAAAGGAAGAAAGCATAGTAAAGGTGTCACTTCTCTTCACACTGACACTGGGTGAACTCGGTTCCTGTGAAAAGTCCGGTAAGACGTGTATGGCCTGCTCTGTCCTCATCTTTATTTTTGCTTATTTTCCTTTTTGTACCTTGCCACTGTGATCCTTTCCCCCATGGTGCCTTCGCAAGTGCCAGTCCTTTCTGAAATACCTTTGTTCACATTCATTAGCTAACTAGCTCCCATTCCTTCACAGATCTCACTCAAGAGTTAACTGGCAGGGAAAGGACTTGCCTGGCTCCTGATCCTCTGCAAGGTTCCCTGGGTGCCCCAGGACAATCTGTGGGATTGTCATCTCTGTGTCCGTCTTTCCAACTGAATCCTGCCACACAATAGTCGTGTTTGCTCTCCCTGCTCTGACCTTTGCTGCTTTGGCCGTAGGATGATGTCAGTAACTGGTTCTTCAGTGAACCAGTCTGTATCTTCCACATTCCAACTTTTTAAGAATTGGTACTTCTTACTCTGCTTTTACCTTGCCTACCTCCGTGGTTATTCTTTTTTATTCTGGATCGTTTCAGTAACTCTGAACCATGCTTTTACCTCAGGACTTGTTTTACCTCAGCCTTTACCTTTGGAAAAATAAAACAAAATAAAATCAAAAGTGAATAGGTCCCCTTGGCACTCCAAGTTCTTGCACACTGACCCCCAAGCTTAGTGGTAGTCACCTCTTCATGAAGCAACACTGAACTGAGTTGGGTCCCTCACTCATACGTACGTTTTCATATTGTTTCTGTTACCTGCATTTCTGAATTTTGGAGGACTTTAAAGGTTTGATTGTTGTCACTGCTAGCCGTGAACAAATTGATGTGAGTTCTGCCAAGCCAATGGACAGTCCCACTCCAGGCTGCTTTTAAAGAATGAAATCAATCCCATGGTGAAAAATCAACTACTGGCATCCTACTCTTGGGATTCCCAAACACCAGACATGGACGTATTATGAATGCTGTCAGTGTGATTACTAGGCATAAATGACCATTCTTTCACTTAAAAGATGCTATAGCAACTAGTGTTTCAAATTAGGCTCATCTGCTGGGTGTGGTAAGACTCCATTCCTGATTTCTCGTTTGTGAATGCTGTTTTCCAGTCCCAAGACTTGGTAGCGGTTCTGTGCCAGTGTCAAGTATAGGATTTTAATTTTTATGAATTTATCTCATTTTGTAAGGCACCAAACAAAACTCTTTCCCGTATTGATTTTTCTCCCAGTCGTTGTGCCTCGTCATCACATGGAGGTGGGATTTGGGACTGTAATTGAGACGTATCAGACAGGAAGGCCACTTGATCGAGTTGATCTTCTGGGGCACTGTTTCCCAGAGACATCACCAAGCTTGGTTCTGGTGTTCAGTTTTTTGTGTCTGGAAACTTAATCTTACTTGTCAGTCTCAGGAAGCTCAATTAGCCAGGCTTGCAGTGTACTGAAATTTAAGCCAGGATAGCACTTTATTTACTTAGAGACTGACTGGGTAGTTATTTTCTCTATGTTTTCTTCCACAAAGAATTATATATGAAAAGCCACATGTTAATCAGGACATTTTTTTGTTGAGCTTCAATATGAACTGCATATGTTATCAATAATGAGATTCGACAAACCCTAGCCTGTGAAATACAGTTTTAGACATAGAACTTCAATAATAATTATCTGCACTTGTACATTTATTATTGTGTCTGATGCTGTGTTTTGTATGCAGGTCATCAATGGAAGTGGCTTTAGTGTCAGCTTTAGTTTCCCTGAATTCGTTATATCCCTTTGTCAAATTCAACTAACTTTGTGCTTTTGATTTAGTTTGTAATTCTTACTAAAAAGTTTGGTTGGCATGTTATCTGCTCCTCCTTCCTCAGTGTTAGGGGATTATTTGTTTCCCTGTAAATAGACGTAGGTCACCATGTAGGGCTGGCCAGGGTTCCCCAGCATCCCGTTTGGCAGTAGGGTGACTCACACTGCATCCTGGCCCAGGAAGCTGCTCCCTGGTGATTGCCCGCCTCTCCCCTTCTCTTTCCTAGCCAGTCCACCATGGGAGCCTGAGCTGGCTCCATGACCCCGTGCCAGATCTGATGTTTTGCCCTCTTTGTTCTTCCTTCTGTTAGTAATCTCAGTGTGGCATAGCAGTGCTGAAGTGACTCTCAGCTTAATGCAGATGTCAGAAATATGCAATCTGTGAAGACAAACCTGGACAGAGTAGGGAGACAGGGACAGATTGGGAGATAACTAGCAGCGTCAGAGATAACTCATTGAGATGTTTGATTTGTGTTTGTGACATTTGTGGGTGCAAAGTAGGAGTGAAGCAAATTGAACTCTGATCATTTTATGTTAGTCCATCTATAGCCATAAAGATAATAATACTGCTGAAGTCTCTTTGGTGTGAATTTCTTGTATATTTTCTTACTACTGTAATGTATCCATATGTGTGTGTATATATATATATATATATATATATTTTTTTTTTTAACAGCTCCGAAAGACTTGTCCTCCTGGCAGGGGGTATCCTGGAGATCAGTGCTGTCACTGAGAGTGATGCTGGGACGTATTCCTGTGTTGCCGACAGTGGCAATGAGACAATTGAGGCCCAAGCAGAGCTCACCGTGCAAGGTATGTGGATGATTTCCTGTGCACCATCTGGGTTAGCTGTGGTTGAACCTGGATGGGCAGCACAGCGTCAGATGAGACAGCTTAGGTTCCCATTCTGAATCTTGAATTTCTTCCCCCTGTGACTGTCAGGAAATTGACATAGCTTCTCAGAATCTCATTTTATTCCTCCATGAAATAGAGTGCCTACCTCTTTGGGAGCATTGTGAGGATTCAAAAGAACTAATACTTGTAAAATTCCTGCATAGTGACCCTATTCCTTAGCATTGACCCTGACCTTAGCATTGTTGTCCCCTAATGTGGGTTGTACAGGTCACCCACAAGCGGCGGTGCGGGGCACCAAGGCTCTTAGTAAAGCTCAGGTCAGGGACTTGATGTTTTAATTCTCCCTGGTCAGCCAATGCTGTAGCTGCTGTGGAGATGACCGTTCCTCCTTTTTCTCCTCAGGTAGATCCCATAGAAGCATTACAAAGAGGAGTAGGAAAGAGTCACTTCGTGGGCTGATGTGCTTGGAAGGCGCAGTCAGTCCCCTTCTCCCCTCCAGGTGCTCTGACTTAGAAGTCACACAACATACTCTGTCTCTTCCCCCCCCCCCCGCCCCGCTGCTTGTTTGTTGGAAATATACCCACAGAGGAGGAGTCGTTGCTGTTTTTCCTTGTTTTGCTGCACTCCCATTTCTCTGCTTTGGATGAAACCCCTTAGGGCCGTCTGTCATTTAACAGAAATCCTCACACTGCTTGGATGCCCAGGTGTCTGCTGCCTTGGGGTGGTCACTGTCACTGCGCTCCACATTGCACTGTATTTGGTAAAAAAAAACTTAGCCATCTGTGCTTTGGAGTTGTTGGGACCACTGAGTTTTCTTTGTGCATGAAAACTTATCTCTCTGAGTGCCCATTTTGGGTTTCAGAGTGGAAAGTTGAATGGCCACATTCTTTTCTCCAGAGGAAACAAAAGAGCAAAATTGTTGGGGATTCCATCTTGGTGAGCACTAAGAATGCCATACTTCCTGCAGTGTCGTTGGGTAGACCGTACATTCTGTCACAGAGTTCATGTAACCATGATATCTGTTGAGCTTGGGAGTGTGGAGACTCCCGTTTCATTTGGCACCTTTGCCTTCCTTGATGGATTTTTGTTCTTTGTCTTTCATTTTAGTCCAAGTCTTGCCTCCCTCCCACCTTCCTCCCTCCATGCCTCCATCTCCTCTGCCTGTGTCATGTGGTGATTGCTGGGGTCCTCATGAGTCACAGAGCCCACCATGCTTGCCTGGTGACTGTTGTCCTCCCCGTGTTCATTCCCAAGCACATCTGTCCATGCAGTGATTATTTCCCACGCCTCGTTGTAGTGCTTCTGCTGGACCGACTTGAGGTTCAAACTAAAATACTCAGAGGACAGCAAAACCAGGTGGTTTTTTATAAAGACAATGATGTTGACAAGAGTGGTGTCTTAAGCAGAGCCTGCCAAAATACACTTTGCAGGCTGAAACTTGCTTACTGCTTGTTTGTGCACAGCCTGTTAGTTAAAAATTATGTATGTATATATCATTTTGTCATACAGTATTCTGTGATTCATTAGACTTTGATGAGATTCACTTGAAGTTTTATTGGCGCACAGCTGCAGCCATTCTTTGCTGTAGCAGCTATGGCTACTTTCCTGCTACCACAAGGGAGTTGAGTGGTGACAGAGACCACATGGCATGAAACTTATGTCCTATCCTGCACAAAGAAGCTTTGCCAGCTCCCATGTGACTCTGTAAAGACTTGCACAGATCACTTAGATAAATAAAGCTAAAAACAGGAGACAATGGCAAATGATGATTACCAAATATCAGAAAGAAAGCTGTCAGTTTCAGTTTTAAGTACAGATTAAAAACAGTGAGGTCCCACTGCACTCCAGAATGGCTACGGTTACAAAGGCTAACAGTACTAGCGTTGGTAGGATGAGGAAGACTGGCAACTCTGGTAGGAAGATAGAAATCACTTTAAAATAATGTTTGGCAGAATCTGTTAGAAGTACACAGAAGAAACGTCCCAAGATGTAGTGTTGTATTTCCAGGAATATGTTAACCACAAATGCATAGATGCATGCATCAAAAACCTGTGCAGTAATAATACTTGCCACCTGTGTTCATAGTAAATCAGAGCTGGGGATAATTGAGATGTCCATCAAAATTCCAGTATAGACTGGGTAAATAGTGTTCCAGTCGTACAAAGTTACATTATCAGCAATGAAAAGTATCTGACCACAGCTACATCCATGCATGTAACCCTGACAAGGGGCTTTGAATGAAGGAGCCAGCCACAAAAAACAACAGGTAAAATGGATGCACATTGTTGGAAGCCAGCACAGCAATCATTCTGGGGGGAGAACAGAGCAGAACAGGGACTGAATGTTGGGTAGCAGGCTTCCGTTGTATTCATGCTGGTATTAGCCTGGTGGAAGTTAGCACAGTCCAAGCCATGCTATTCCTGTGTGCCACGTGGCATTTTTATTATGTGCAGACAAGAGGCCATTGTGCATGAAAACATACTTGGAAAATTTTGTTTTGAACCTGATCCCAAATGAAAAATGGTATTCGGAGGAGTGTGAGAGGGCGGGCGGGGAGGGTAGTTCATGAGAACTAGCTGGAGATGTGTTTAAGCGCAGTTGTACCTGTCTGAGTTCTGTTGTTTTTAAAGAAATTATAGCTAAGGGAAATGCCATAGTGAGTGTTAATGTAGAAAAGGTCGTAAGTTCATTCTTCATCTGTTAAATATATCAAATTTATTGTCTTACTGTATTAACTCATGGGATTCCTACAACATGCTGTGACGTGAATTGGCCCATCATGAATTTCCTGTCATCTCAGATTGTTGATAACACTTAAAATGGGTCATGAGTTTTTTTTTTAAAGGGGATTTTTCCTTTTCTCTTAAAAAGTCACAGTAGTCTACAACACACATTTCCCCTCCCCCCCCAAAAAATTTTCCATTTATGCTTTTTGGAAGCATGCTGATGAGTTTTAAATTGGCCACACTCACCACTACTTGTATTATCTGCTCCCGTACGGATCTGCTGCTGAGATGTTGCACTTCCCCTCTCTCCTGAAGTTGCACCACTGTCCTGCAGGTCTCACTCTTGTACTCTTCTCTCCTCTCTAGCAACTTGGAGACACTGGTCTCCCTTTTTTCCTCCTCACTGTCAGGACTGATTTGATTTGGTTTTTAATAGTTGAGAGGGATGCACCCATGTGGGCGTCTGATTAGGGTAGGGAGAGTTAAGGCATGGAGGAAGGAGAGTGGAACAAGTGTTTCAGTTCTTTTTATTCTCCTGGTCTGCTCAGGGGGGTGGGGGAAGAGAACTGCCTCTTGCTGTCAAACTACATCCTCATCCAGGGATGGGGGGACAGTCATCTGCGAGAGACCCCAGTGTGGGGAAGAATGTTCCAAGGGTATTTCTTAAGTGGTTTTGATAGTTCTGAGTCGTCGTCAGCTTTGTTGCAACCGGGTTGAGAAAATATTTCCAAGGTCTATTGGCTGAGCAGGTGGACCTCAGCGTGTAGCCATAGACCCAGACATTTGCTGTAAAGCTTGACCCAGAGAGTGTCTAACCATCCTCTACTTTCCATCCTCTGATAAGGCACTCAACTTTCTCTGCTGGCCTAGATGGGGTGGCTGTCATGTCCCCCATGTGCGTCTGGGCATGCTGTCCACAGCACAGGCATCAGTAACTAAAGAGACCCAGACCCAATACTCACTTTCCAAGGTTGAACCACATATTTTGATATTCCCTGTGGCCAAGATTTGAGTCCAGTGTTCTCGCCGAGGAGTCCTCAAGAAAATTCGCCTGAGATGACCCTGGACACCCAACTTCCCATGTGGGCCAGCCAGTGTAGTATCAGGTTTGGTTCATTTCCTGCACCAGCCAGTGCACATACTGATGGATGCAGTTGCCTGGTTAGTTCTGCCCACAACCCCATCTCATGCAAACTGATTGGTGCTGTGGCCCAACCCAGTCCAGCCCAGCCCACCTTACCTTAGGCCCAGTCTTCACACACACCAGCAGAGTGCCACAGCCTAGTTGGGTCAACCAACCCCCAATAGCCCTCACTATACCCAACCTCAGCACTGTTTATTTTTATTTTTTCCTGTGTTGCCTTATGCTACAATCTAGCGCTGTCCATCTGGCATCCATCAGGCTTTTGTGCATAATCAATGGGTGCTGCGGATTAGCTCAACCCGCCTCACCACCATACCCAGCCCACACATTTGTTAGGGGTGCTGCTGCCTTCACCAACCTGTCCCATCCCCAGTCCTGGAACTAATGCTCACCAGAAGAAGCTACAACCCAGCAGGGGAGTGCCCACAGTTCTCCTACCAGGCCCATTCCCAGCAGATTTGATACATGCTGACAGGTGCTTTGACCCAGCCTGACATGGCCTGCCCACAGTCACAACTCTCACTGGCTGGTGTTTCAGCCTAGCCCATGTGGTCATGGCCCACACTCTGTGCTGGTTTTCATGCATGCAGCGGGTGCTGTGGCCTGGCCCAGCCAAGCCTGTCCTTAGACCTGGCTCATACAAGTACTGACAAGTACTGCAGCCTTGCCTTGCCTGACCTGACCCAGCCCACCCACAACCCTGGCTCTTGTGCTCCCCAGCAGAAACTGTAACCTAGCAGGGTGAGTTCACCAAGTCCTCCTACCAAGCAGGCCCGTTCTCAGCTCCAAAATTCATGTGTGCCAGAGGGTGCCCTGACCTTGCTTGGCATGGTCTACACACAGTCACAGCTTTTGCATGCACTGCTGCAGCCTGGCTCAGCCCAGCCTTCTTCCATTCCAGGTTCTGTGAGTGTCAGGTGAGTTCCACAATCCAGCCTGGGTTGGCCCATGGCCATCCCAGTTCTTGAGCAAACGGGCTGGTGCTGCAATCCTATAGGAGTAAGCCAACAAGTCTCGTACAGAATCTGCCCCCAGATCCAAATTCTCTTATGTTCTGGTAAGTGCAATGACTGAGCATGATACAGCCC